CGACACACACACACACACACCGACACACCAACAGGCACACTTAGCGCATTATATAAAGTAGGATATTCCTTCTGGTGCATGTCCTTTTCTAGGGAGTTACTCTCTTTGAACTTGCGATAAGGTAGTGTCATAGAGACCAACGCGATCGTCGAATTCTGCTAGTTCCTCACATGATGGCACAAGATACTCCTCTACCGAGTCCATGCTCTACTGCATTACTTGTTGAGAATACGGTCGTTACGAGGTTCGGAAGCCAGTTGAATTGGAATCTTTGGGCTGTTCCTTTCTTCGCCCATCCTGAGCGTTCTGCCCACATCCCACTGTCTCCGGGTTTGAGGACAATACGATGCAGGTGCAACGAAAAGATGCGATGCATACGCGCTTTCGAACATCCTCGAAGGTGTTCATCCAAAGGCTGGAGAAAATCTAAGCCTGTTGTATTAGCCTCAGAGGAAGTTAGTTGAAGCCGCATAGTTTTTAATTTTGATGCTCAGTTCACAAAAGGGACGATTGCTTTTGATTAAGGAAAACTGTGGGATGTCTTCCTTTCCATCAGAGAACAAAATTCCTTCGCATGTCGTTAGGATTGTTTCCGATCGTCCTGACACTACTGGCAACACAAGAGAGAAAGATGTCGTGTTAATAGGACCACGACAATAATTCACTACATTCAGACTCATTCAAGACGCTGATTTCAAATTCACTCCTTGAACCTTGAAACAGTACGTTCCTTCCATGTTTGCCTTTCTTTAAACCTGGGCATCTGTAACAACATAACAACAGTTCGTTCCGTTCCCCGAAAGTGGTTTCCTGGAGAACGCAAGGTTTACGGTAAAAGGGTACACGAATGGATGATGTAAATGGCGTCAAAATCGTTCTTCATGTGATACTTGTTTACTCAAGCGGAAGGAAAAGTATTCCAATGATGGCGAGACTCTGTGGGACACGCTTTAAAAAACGAAGTCCCAATAAGTGACATAGATACAGAGAATTTTTTCAGTTATAGGAATGTAGCTTGTATGGAGTAGATGAGGACCATTCTTTTGGAATGTGCGCTAAACTTTTTTTGCAGGGCTTATGTGCAGCAATACAGACAGAGAATTTCAGAAGCTCTCCCATTTTAATGCTGTTTTTAAGGATATGGATGAGAAACCTGTGAAAGTCTGTAGCGTCAATATTGGCTGACGCTGAAGAATGGTAGGATATGGTACAACCATTTACAATAAAGATTTATCCAGTTCAGAGCGGTTGATTGTAAGAGACTGCAAAATAAAAAATCTATAACGCGAACTCTCTCACCCTAAATAGGCGAGCATGAATATCAGCTTGTCCGGATCGCGAGCCAGAGCGATTCAGTGGGTTGTCATCGCTCGGAGGACACGAGGCTTATTGTTAGCATTCCTTTCGTTCAGAGCTTTCGCGAAGAAGTCAAATCATGACGACCATTCCGGCCCCGGTCCGACGGTCATCACTATATCGCATGTTGTGCCCGGCCCACCTNATTTTCGATTTCTTGGCATAATCAATGGCATCCCTAATCTTCATTCGTTGTCGTCCGGAACTCCGGATTCCTCACTGCCCTTGCGAATATCGGAAGATTACAAACATCGTAGCTGGAATATAAGGGATGCTCGTTCCATCCGATGTCTCGGTAGTGTAAGAGATAAGAGCACGGTGCCCGAATAGCACAAGTGCTGGTTCGAGTCCCTACCGAGGCCGGGGTTCTATCCATCAGTTGCCAACCTTGTGAGACTTTCGCATCGCGTATTGCGGCGAAATAACAGCAATTAACAAAAAACAAACA